AGAAGCACTGGTGTGTGGAAACAGAAGGTGGACAGAAGAGAGACACTGGAAGAGGATTTCTTCCCATTTCTCTTTGCTGCAGGCAGAAAGTCCAGCAGTGATTGAGTCTCCTCTGGGATGCCATCCACATAGGACAGAATCAACAAATTTCAACTTCCAGCAGAGAACAGGATGGCAATTCTACCTCCTCCTTTTGTCAGGCCAATCTGGAGTAGTAATGCTATTGTTATTTTCTGGGTTGCTTCACTGACTTCTCAGCAGTTCTCTCATCTGTGCACATAATCCCTTACATTAAACTCCCATTGTTTCATATACTCTGAGTGGGTGTATTCTCTTGTTGGGCCCTGGCTAATACAGCTGGCCAAAGAATAATAGTTATAAACAAGTACAAAAAGGACCAGGGAGGAACTAAACATAGATGTGCAATGTCAGCACCTTTTTGTAAGATGAACATGAGTGAAGAAAATGGATAAAGGAAGCTATACTGTGAAATACCTGAGGATGAAGACATGAGTAAAGAGCTAGGGAAGTATTGGGTCTTGGAAACACTAGGTATTTTGGAAGGTGACTGAAAAGAAGAGGATTTCTTCTAGGATCAGTATGTTCTTGGCCAACTTTCTATTGAACACTTCAGGCTTACTGTCTGCAGACTGAACCTGTGCAGTTCCCAGTCATGGCAGATAGCAGGACTTCTGGTCCCAAGCTGGAAACATAGTGATACAACATAGAACCCTGAGCAAAAGATTGTCTTACTGAGACAGAAGATCCACTAAAATTGACATGATCATCCTAAGAAGTTTACCTTCAACATGTTGGCCATGGTGTGACAATGTGGAAAAGAGTAGTGAAATATCAGTTCTGATTTTCTACAGAAAAAAAGCTATAGAAGTATTTGCGAAGAAATAGAAATTAGCATTCATCTCACAGAAGAATAAAGAATGTAAATACAAGACAAAAATTAACTCAAGGAAAACCAACCATTGAGAACAAGTTGATTCATCAGTGAACAATGTTTTCACAGTTAAAATAATAAAGCAGTTGATTAATTGACAATAATGGGACAGATGAAGAGAAGGGAAGTAGGTATAAGCCCCAATTATAAAATCATGAATAATATTTAAAATCATCAAATTAAGAAAATGTGTCATTATTAGTATTTTGATCTGTTCCATTCTTCGCTCCTAGCTTTTGGTGGTTTTTAGAAATCCTTGGTGTATATTGCATTGCAGATGAATAATTCCAATTTCTGTTTTCAGTATAATGTGGCTATCTTTCCTCTATCTATATTTGTTTTTTGGAGTCTGTTTTCTTCTTGTAAGAATACATGTAGGCTGTACCTTATTTTTTAAAATAACTGTTTAGGCTGTACTTTGGTTTTTTTTTTAAATAACTGTTTCCTTAACTAATTACATCTTCAGGGACTTTAATTCTAAATTAGGTTTGAGGTTCCAAGAAGGATATAAATTAGAGTGTGGAGCACTAGTCACCCTATGCAACCAGTATCAGGATAATATTTAGAAATAATGCATGTGCGGTCTACAAAGAAATAATGGACATAAGTCAAAAGTCTTTACATCTGGAATGGAGCTGATGGGTGAGATGGATGATGCTTATGCTTATCAACTCTAAGATGGACATGCTTGTAGAACATAAATACCCAGGTCCCTTCCTTCTGGCCAATGAGGAAGATCACAGGTCTCTTTTCTGGTTGACCTGTGGTCATTCTGAACCACAGACCAAGGAGAAAAATAACACTTTTGGGGGAAGGGGCTATCCTGGGGCTTGAACTCTGGGCCAAGGTGCTTCTCTGAGCTTCTTTTGCTCAAGGATAGCACTCTACCACTTGAGCCATGGCTCCACTTGTGGATTTTTCTGTTTATGTGAGGAATCGAACTTGGGACTTCTTGCATGCTAGGTGAGCACTCTACTACTAAGCCTCATTTCCAGCAGAAAAATGACACTTTTGATCAGAGCTGTACTTGTCAGTAAGAGACCGTCCAGCTTTGTACTTCTTGCCCTAAGAATGGTGAAATCAGGGATAAAAGTGGATCTTCTGTCATCAACCTTCATGACTTCAGTAAGCAGTCTTTCATGGTTGTATTCATTAAAATCTAGATGTAGAAATCCTAATCTCCAAAGGGATGGTGTTAAGAGATGGAATTTTGAGGAATTGACAAGGTTCTGAGAATGGAAACCTCATTAGTGCCTGATAAGAGAGATACATATTAAGATTCTATGTGGCCCCCCTCAGCTACATGAGTACAGGGTGAGTAAGTAAACCAGGAAACAGATCATCACAAGACAACACATTTTCAGATGCCTAGATCTTGGATATATTGCTTCTGTAATTTTGAGAAATAAATTTCTGCTGTTCAGTAGCACTCTGAATGAATTAACCTGTACTCATATTTGACATGAAGTGGGAGATGAGGAAAATCCTGTGATTCACTGAGTTTTGAGGCTTGTTGATGCATAAGCTGGGCTATCTTGATTGAAACTGTTTAGTGAATAATTCATTTATTTATTTTTGTGCCAGGCTTGGGACCTAAACTCAAGGTGTAGATGCTACCCTGAGCTTTTTTACTTAAGGGTATTTCTCTACCACTCAAGCCACAGCTCCAGTTCTAGCTTTCTGGTAGTTAACTAGAGAGAAGATTCTCATGGCCTTTCCTACTTAGTCTGGCTTCGAACTGCTATCTTCAGATCTCAGCTTCCAGAGTAGCTAGGATTATAGATAACAGCCACTGTGTTCCCATAAAAATTTTATGCCATGTATCTATTACTGTTTTGATGAAAATAAAAGGAACTATAAGAGATAATACATAAATAAAAACCCTGGTTTTAGCAGGTCACTTTGTAATGACATGGTATTTTAAAGGTATTAGAGTCTAAGTTGTTGTAGGCATTGTCAAAGCAGAATATGGGAATACCAGGTCAAACCTTAGGGTTTTTTTTTAAGGATGTGTATATTATTACTTTAAGGATGGTATAAAGAATTAATATGAATAAGGATATAGCACATTTTCCACAATATTTCATGTGTTAGAGTATAGAAAAATAATTGCGCTGATTTATAAGATTATTTCTTAGTTGCTTTGTATGTCCCTCCCCCACACTGCTTTCACTGTATTTGATGTCAGTATAATTTGGGAAGGGGAAGGGGAAAAACAAGTCGTTTAAATAAGAATACAGGTGGACCCGTTGCAACAATGAGAAGTACACGTTGTCATGTCGAAAACGAACTTTACAACTTTGGGAGTGAGGGAGGATTGGGGCTGGGAAGGGATGGGAAGGGGAAACAAAGGAGGAGGCTACAATACTTGATAAGAAATGTACTCATTATCTTGCCCATGTAATTGTAACCCCTCTGTACAGTATTTTCACAATAAAAAATAAATTAAAAAATAATTGCATTGAATTCTTGGATTCAAGTACTTTTTTTTCTTGGATTCTATTTGTGCCAAATCTTTCCTTTTACTGAACAAATATAATTGATTCAAAAAATTTATTCCTAAACTTTCTTCAAAAAACACTTTTGTTTCTCTCTCTCTGTTAACAGACAATAGTGTTCCTTGATATGAATTTATTCCTATTTAAAAATGATCTCCTCTTACATTTCCTATTGGCTTAGAGGTTTTTTTTTGCAAACAAATTAAGGATAGTCTCAAGTATGTATTCCCACTTAGTCATACTGGACTGGCTTCAAACTCAATATGTTTAGTAACAGCTGAAGCATGTGGTTGTAAACATATCTTAGTTGCCAACTTTTATTTTTGTTAGTAAGTTTTTTATTGTGAAAATCTTGTGCAGAGGGTTACGATAACATAAGCAAGGTAATGAGTGCATTTCTTATCTAGCATTGTTGCCTCTTTCTTTGTTTTTCCCCTATCATCCCTTCCCTCCTATCTCCACAACTAACATAGCGTTTTGTACATTTCATTGTTGCAATGGGCCAACCTGTATCCCTATTTAAACAATTTGTTTTTTCCCTTTCACTCCCCAAATTATACCAACATCAAATACAGGTGCCAACATTTAATTTCCATCAAAATATTTCTTCTATATGATTAATCCACATACTTTAATGGATGCCTTTTACTTTTCATCTTTGTTTTCTTCTGCTACTCATCTGTGTATGTAGTCATTAGGAGGAAAATGTAGTCACATTCTTTAGCAGACTAAAGAAAATATCCACCATATGGACAGTCTGACTCATCAAGTGTTTCCTAACAGGAGCAGTAATGATCTGTTCAATTACCATAGCTTCATAGCACTGTCTATTATACTCCAGCTGAGGCATGGTGCTTTTTTGTTTTATTTAGTGCAGATAAACGAAAAATTTCACTATATTCTAAGAAATTCTAAATTGAAAAAAATAAGGAGTTCAGTAATCAAATCATAGGCAAACTTCTAAAAACATTCTCTAGATCATATTAAACCTCACAAGTTGTTACTTTTGTTTTTGTTCTTGGTACATACATTTAATAATATAGTGCCCTGACTTGTATCTCCCTTTAAAAGCAAATGCATTTTTCTGGAAATACATCACTTTACATTGGCAAAGAGTTACAGGAATAAATTCTTTAAACATCTTGAAGAAACATACTTAAAAATTTGAAACTTGACACCAAAATGCTATTAAAAAGCAATGTATAATATGCAGTGCCAAATGAAAATCTTCTATCATAACTCACTGGATAAAGTTTAGTTTTTATATCATTTTGATAAATTTATCCCATTTGCTAGTATAGCCACAAATCATACCTTATGGTTGTCATGTGAAAGCAGTAAAATATTGAATACCTTCAGATGACCTCTACTCAGAAATGCTTTTCACTGCTCACATTTTATCTGTCAAATAGTACTTTCTTTAAAAAGCAAGTATAAATGCTATTGTAGGGAGAAGCTACCATCCTGGGACATGTTCTAGCATAAGATCTGACAGATCTTAATTTGGATATCTGCCAAAGTCAATAAAACTTGTTCATGCAGAACCTTACCTGGTTTTCACTACATCGAGGGGGTGCATCAGGCAAATTTCTACAAGACCTGAAAGATGATAAAGAAAAGTCCAATAAACACATATGTAAACACTGGCTTTCATTTCCTTGACCCTAACAATTTCTCAAAGATGAAGATTTAAGTAAAGACTTTAGAAATTTGGTCATGATAGCAAATAGAAGCACAGTTTGATTTTATTTCAGTGGGAGTAATATATGTAAGAGAGTACTTTCTTACAAGTGCAGGGAGGTAGGATAGAGTAGTGAGAAAATGAAAAAGGAATCAGACTACTACTAAGCAGGAAATATCACATCCAAATCTATTTTATATATATATATATATATATATACACACACACACACACACACACATATATATATACACACACACACACATATAAAGGAAGAGAAAGAAGGAATTATGGGGAAAAGGTTTTTGATTTACTTTTCCCATATCATAGCAAAATCATAAACTTTAGTCCTAGTATTCATGAAATGAAGATAATTATGATTCTTCTTCTACAAGGTAGTTATAAGAATCCAATACAATTATAGTTTAACAAAGGATATTTGAATACTTATGTCTTCCACATTGGTCCAATTTTATTCAATCTTCACAAGAACTCTGTGTTACTCCTTTCTCATGGATGAGATAGTTGAGGAACACAAAATTAAATAATTTGTCTAAGATGTCCCATCTAATAAGTAGTTTTAATTCCCACAAAGCCTGGAATCGTAACAATAACACAGCATGGAGCTTTTATAGTTTCTTTCAAATCATTTGTAAAGCCCTATCACTTGTTGTGTCACCGAGTAGAGAGAAAGCTACTCAATTATAAACCTCTGCTAGAGAAAGCTACTCAATTATAAACCTCTGCCAAGGAATCTTTATACTTATTTAAGTAGTTTTTATGTTCTAGCTGTTGTAGTTGTTAATAATATTATAGTAATAATAATCATAACAGTACATAATGATGAACATGAGTGAACATCATCACTGATATGTACAACTACTGGGAAGGCTCTTATGACCATATGTATTTTAAAATAAGCAAACTGATTTTGATAATGTTCAACTGTTGGTCCGTAGAGCCACACCTCCAATTTCTGGGTAGTCTTATGGGAGAAACAGTTGCCTCCATTTTCAAGCTGACTCAGTTTGAGTTTGGCTGTAATTAAATTCAACTTGCCCATTAACTTTTACTCTCCATACTGGACTCATCCAAAAAGCCCAAAGAACATGTACTGAACCAAAGGCTCACCTCAGTTCCTTCCTGCATGTATCTGTTATAGGTTACAGTCAGACATATTGATCAAGAATAATAGTCATCTATTACTCATGTCTTTCCCAAAGGAAACCCAAGTCACTGACCCAGTCAGAGTTCCATTGCATAGAAACAGGAAGAGAAAGGCATGGGAGTACTGGTAACAGTATCACAAGACAGTGTTCAGACTTATCAGCCATTGTTTCAGCTTCAGGAAGTAAGCCCAGTGACTCAGGACATCATAGGCATGTATCCCTTTTGTGTCCTGTAAAGTCCACACACAATTCCCCTTGCTTTAGAATTCACATTTAGCCCGGCGTCGGTGGCTCACGCCTATGATCCTAGCTACTCAGGAGGCTGAGATCTGAGGATCATGGTTCAAAGCCAGCCTGGGCAAGAAAGTCCATGAGACTCTCATCTCAAATAAACCACTCAGAAAACTGGAAGGGAAGTAGCTCTATGGTTCAAGCGGTAGAGTGCTTTCCTTGAGCTGAAGAGCTAAGAGATAGAGCCCAGGCCAAGATTTCAAGCCCCACGACTGACAAAAAATAAATAAATTAATTAATTAATAAAAAAATTCACATTTATATGAAAGTAAGGAATTAGCTGAACAGAATTATTATCCTAGTGCTCGAGGCAATGGTCATTTACCTAATGGTGCACTAGATCCTTGTTGATAAGAGAAAAAATTAAATAATCCAAAATAAGTCTAAGGTCTAATATTGTTTGTTTTGGTATCACTCTAAAATCAAATTCACATGTCAGTATGTCAAAATTTATATAGTAATAGTTCAAATTTCAGCTTTATTACATTAATTAGAAAAGAATGAGATCCTAATCCAATAAATAAAATTTATTCTGGAAATTTAACTTGTAAAACAGCATTCTTACAAGTATTACAGTAAGCATCAATTTAATAAGTTCCTCTGAATGAGCTACTTAGAATCATATGTACAGTGTTTCTCTTATTTGACTTTAGAGGACTAATCAAATAACACTGGTTGGTCCATCTCTCAAAAAGTTAATTAGAAGAACCAACCCAGGAAGAATAGTCTTCAAGACTCCATCTCTAATAAACCAGCAAAATGCTGGAATATATGGTTCAAGTGGTAGTTATGTCAAAAACGAATTTTACAACTTTGGTGGGGGGGAGAATAGGGTCGGGTAGGGGGGTGGAAAGAGGAGGGGATGGCAAGGGGAAACAGAGGAGGAGGCTAGCTACAATGCTTGATAAGAAATGTACTCATTATCTTGCCCATGTAATTGTAACCCCTCTGTACAGTATTTTCACAGTTTAAAAAAAAGAGGTAGAGCATCAACCATGAGAAAACAAGCTGAATGAGAGAATGAGACCCCGAGTTCAAGCCTTGGTGCAAGCACATGCAATACAAAAATGAATATATGTTAAACATGGTATGAATGTTCTGATTTTAATTAGAGTTTCAAGGTTAAATTTGGACTCACTCAGAATGGGATTTGATGCTGTCCTCCAGTGCAAAGCTAAGAACTATGATAATATGATTATCGTTTATAGAGGTAACCATAAAAATAGAATCATATGAACCACGTTACCATAAGCCTGGAACTGACTCTAAGAAACTGAACTGTACTGTGTATTTCTTGACAATTCTATTCCTACATATGAAGTCACAAACTAAATGGGTTAGTGAACACAGATTTAGGCAATTTTACCTTTTTAAAAAATAAAAATGAAAATCTTACATGAAAAAAGATAAGTTAAATATTAATCTGTGCTAACCATCAATTTAATACACATTGATCTGAAGAAGAATCAGACCTAGACATTTTTGTTCTCACCAACCTGGCATTTATTAAAGTCACCAGTCACAGATGAATACAAAACCAAATGGTTTGATCTCTGTTCATGCATAAAATAAAATTTATATTGCTAACTGTCAACCATAGAACCACTTTTCCCAGGGGGAAAAGCTAGAATTTCACAGTATTTGGGGGGGAGCAAAAAATGCATAAGAACCAAAATAATTACAGATTTGAACCAATGCTTTTCTCTTCTGTCTGATTTTAAATATAAATTTGGTGTTTGATCATAAAACCAGACTAGTAGACACTTCAGAGATGAAATGTCTTCCTGGATTGTTATTTCTGTCATTTATCTGTTTGTTCAGTATAAAGTATGGAATCCAGAAATCAAGTCCATTTTGTTATTTTTATTTTTGTCTTATGTTATCATATTTATGTTTGAGGATGGGTGTTGCTACCATTGCTCAGGTTCAAACCTACAAGCTGGTGGATTCGAACAGATGGAGGAGGAAGCATAATGAAAGAAGTGACAATGACCAAAATTCATGGTATTCACATATGGATATACTGAATTGAAACATCTTTGTACAACTATTTAAATATAATTCAAAAAATTATCCCCTCCCCCAAATCTTGCATTAAAGAGTTGTACTAGACTTAATTTTTAAATGTACTGTTCTATTTGAACCTTCTATTCATTTTGTGGACAAAAAAGCAGAATCAAAACTTAACCAAACCACAGTATGAAAATAATTAGAAAAACATGAAAATAATACATTTCCTTAAATTATACAGAATATAAGGAAGTTCCATTTACTATTTTCACTTGAGACAACTGGTAACTTATCACAGTAACATAATAAGCAAACATTGAAGTTTTGATAGAGATTGTATTCAATGTGCAGATCATTTTGAGATATATGGATATTTTGTCAAAATCACTACTGATAGGTTCTGAGGTCATAGCTATACTCTATGAAGAATGAACTACTTCCAAAGATAACTTTCATAAGAAATATTCTATGAGGCAGAAAATATCCCTATGACTTATAAAACAGGGCAGAGTATTGAGTTATTCAGCTACCCTAACAGGTCAAGATCCAATCAAATCTATCTTAACAGGTGAAAAATCTACTAAAAAAATCACCTAATGATTCAGTGATAGCACTCTTAAGTATTTATCCAGAATATTATAATAAAGACACTGTGGAAGCCAATTGAGGCTTCATGAATGGAGAGAGAAAAGATAGTAGGTGCAGTCATTATAGTCAATGTACATTATGTGAAAATGGAATTACATAATTTAACAGCATGGATAAAATGAGGAAAGCTGGGGGAGAAAGGTAGAAGGGGTGATATTGATAAAAATGTGTGTACTCATATAATCTCATATAACCTGTCTTCTGAAATTGAAACTCTTTTGCACAACTATTCAATAAAAACATACAGATTTGGAAACAAGAGGTTCTTGTTGTGTCCTGTAGGTAGTTATTTCATTTTTTTCCTTCTCTGTTTTAGTTTTCTGTACCCTTTGTCCGTGGAAGGGAAAGGGACTTACAGAAACAGCAGGATAAAGGATGGACTAATGCAAGAATGGTACTCACTTGACACTGTGTTGGAAATGAACTATACAACTTGGAATCCCACCTCCAAGTTGTATAGTTGTATAAGGTTGTAGGGAGAGATAAACAGGAGAAAATGAGGGAGAGGGTACAATGTTTAAGAAGAAATGTACTCATTACCTTACTTATGTAATATTAAGAAAATCAACGATAGCTATGTTTTGGTATTTTAAGGTTAATTCCAAGAACTCTCTTCTAGTTTTCTCTTTTTTGTGTGTTCATGCTCTTTTAACCATTTATTTAACTGACCTTGTTGATATCCTTAACTCTTTAAAGATGTAAAAGAATAGTCCTAATTTTAAAAGAGAATAACAAAGGAATAGTTTCATGATGCAAATTTCAACTTCAAAAATAGAACAGCAACCAAAAAAACATTTTTT